GGAGCTGCTTTTAGCCTAGCGCGTCTATCAAACCCCCGCTACCTTTGAATGCCAGATCAAAAGAAGATGAATTCCAGGCAAAGAGATGGAAAGGGGGAGCGCAAGGGGGCTGTTTGTGCATGTGTGTGTGTGTGCGTGTGTGGGGACGGGCGCTTTGTAAACATCACAGTGACAGCTCACAATGGGTCGCTTTAGCGCGGCGCTAACCCTCCGCCAGTCAGCCGCGCTCGCTAGCTTGTTAAACAGCAAATAATTCCTTCGCCCGGGGCCCGTGCTCACCTCGGAAACGGTGCCAAGTTCATCCTCTCTCTTCTCATTAGTTTTGATCCTGACAGAGTCTTTGAATCATCCCTTCGTTGCTCTTTTGTTTTAATTGCCTTTTTTCCGTCGTATTCGATGAAGACGTGTCTTTTAGCTAGCGTTAGCTGCATTAACAACAAGGAATTTGTTATTATTAAGGTGCGCTTGTGAAGTCTTATTTGATATAGAAGATGTTCTCCTGAAAGCGTTCTCGGCAGGAAGCAGACTTGTGGTTTGGTGTAGCCTAATGTTGGTTTTTTTAGACCTCCGTATCTCCTGATTGATCATCTGGTGTGTTTGTTGACAGCCTTTCTGACGCAATTAACAACTGAAAGCAGCACATTGTACTTTATGTCCTCATCTTGAAGTGTCTCAATATCACATCCTGTTGACTCAAATATACTTGTTCCAGCACTGTCTCAGTGCAAACTGTGCACACCAAGTATTTTTTATGTCATAAAAGTTTCTGTGTAAACAAAGCGTGTGCAGCGTCAGTGTGCTCATGCAGTAATCTTTATCTTACGGTTGAGGGAGCGTGTTTTACGTTCCGTCTGGCATAACCACCAGACCTGAGAGTGAGAGAGTGAGTCGACTCGTACGCAGCAAAGTTTTACATTTTATAAAAGAAGTCTGACTCATTTCAACACTTTTTATCTTTGGTCACATGGGACTTTGCAAAATGCTGAGAAAGAGCACCTGAGAGGAAACGCATAAATTAGTAATATACACATGGTTGCTTGGCATAATATTTTTTTCGGATTGATTTAAAAGAGATAAAACATAGAGAGAGAGGCATTAGATTCAAATCTTTTTTCCGCTTGAAACATTTAATAAAATAAACATGTAAGCATTTTTATAGACACTTTAATTCATTGCGATTTGCATGTAGATCTCTGTGTGTGTGGGGGTGGGGGTGGATGGATGGATGGATTTGTTTGTGTATGTGTGTGTGTATATATATATATATATATATATATATATACATATATACACACATAGCAACATTATAACATTATTGTAACATGTATAAAACACAAAATAATATACATTCAAGTATTTTTGACAAAATAGTTTTTCAAACAGAATTTTTAAGAAGAATTTTTGCTAATCGAACCTACATGAGCACAAAATTTCACTTGTTTATATCCACATATCCTTGTCTTTTGAGTTCATACTGGATGGGTTTTCTCACATTTCTGCTAGTCACCCGAAATGAAGAGTTTCAGTCCATTCATGGCACTGGAAGACTTTAGTGTCATATTGTCATGCATATTTAATTAGGCTTCTATAAATAGGGTATTTATTTTTTTCTGCTCTGTGCGAGCGCATGGCTGGTCAGTGTGGGAGGGGGAGAGTGTGGTGCTGGTGGTTTGGGTGAGAGAGTGGCTTAGGGACTGTCCCTTTCAAATAAGCCTCCGTCGTATTAAACGGGCCTCAGGTCAGCATGGAAATATCGCTCATGTATTTATTTGATGAAGAGTTTTGATAGGTAGTGAAGTTTTTTTTTCTTCTATTACTGGAATTTAAATCACAAAGAAATTGGAGGGCAGAGGAGCCGTTGGCTTGTGATGCATAAACTGTTAAGTTCAGTCTGAATAGATCAGAGACCTTGTTTAAAACTTCAGCAGCTCTTTCCTGATGTTGGGATCCCTCAGATATTCAGCACAGCAGGTATTCATGCAGTAAGGAACAGAAGGTTTGATGAACTTTCCCATATATTCTCTTTCCCATAAATTATTTAGGAATAATATTTTTTTATTTTTTAGAGCATAAATCTTACAAATTAATGCTTCTCAAAAGGTCAAGGAAAATGATTTATCTTGATATAACCCTTTTACTTCTGTGCTGTATATATATATATATATATATATATATATATATATATATGGTAATATATGTTTTAATGTAATATAGTGTAGCGTGATGTGTTTTTGTCCATAATGATGACGGTCAGTGTCAGACGGCACTGAAGTGGCCCCTCTGTAGCCTGTTATTATATTCCTGCCTCATGATGTCATCCCACAACTCCAGTGCATGAGAAGGTCACTCACTTACACACACACACACACTCTCTCTCTCTCTCTCTCTCTCTCTCTCTCTCTCTCTCTCTCTCTCTCTCTCTCTCTCTCTCTCTCTCTCTCTCTCTCTCTCTCTCTCTCTCTCTCTCACTCACACACACACACACACACACACACACACACACACACACACAAACCAACAAACAGCTGGCTTCTCCAGCCCAGCGCTTCAGTCCTCATCTCTTTATTGAGCTCTTACAGTAACCCTTTACTCTCTAATATAGGCCTGCCCTTTCTCTCAAAACCACCCCCTTTTCCTCACTTTTTACATGAAGTGATGTCAATTTCATCTCATTCAATGCAAACCCACGTGTTTTGCACACTTTCTCGAGCCCTTTATAGCATCAGGTTGCTAATAACAAGCCACTAATATCAGATAATGAAGTCTGAACTCCACCCAAGGGTTTTAGATGTTCCTCCGACTGTTTGTTGAATTGTGGGAGTTTTTGGTGTGATGAGCGTGGAAAGAATGAAGCAGTTATTTACTCAGATGGTTCTCTGGTGTAGGTGTGAGTCTGCCCCTGCTGTTCTATGGGAACACGCTGCTTGCTTTTCTTGGTATTGGTGCCCTTTTTTTCTTCTTTTTTCTTTTTTTTTGCTCAACTGGAGAACTTCATTTTTCCCCAGAACTGCTGTTGCTTTTGTTTGCTCTGGATGGCATGTCTGATTATTTATGGTGGGGGGGGGGAGTAGTCCAGCCAGTAAACATGTGACTGCACTGTATTTTGTTTTCCACTCACAGGGCCGTGTCCTTTGACACATATTTTGAAGGCTAATAAACTTTTTATTTGCTTTATGATCAGGGAAAGGCGGGGGTAAGCAGACGAACAGATAAATGTAGAGAGAGAGAAAGAAGTTACTGTCTGCATACCACACTAAGCTTTCTGTAGCATATAGTATGACAGCGTAGTATGAAACATTCTGTATGGATAGAATAGCCAGACCAATGACTACAGTTATCACAAATTACAGTAGGCAACAGAGTATACAGTGCTGGGTAGAGTAAGTTTTTTACTTATTATTTACTCAGCACTCAGGAATTAAGAGATTTTAACACAAATTTGGATTGTTTTTTAATTATATTAATTATATTACATTTCAATTATAATAATACAAAATATTTAATAATACATTTATATGTATTTAATTAATTTTTTATAAATAATAAATGTATTACCATCTAGTTGATCTTGATCTTAGCAAGTACATTATTTGATAAAAGTTTTTTTTGTTAACTTCTTTTTTTCGGTTTGTTTTGATGTTTGCACATTCAACTCATTCAACTTATTTTTGTAAATGTGTGATCATTTGTTTCCGAGCTGATAACACTCCATTTGCTAAATTACGCATGCCACATGGTGTAGTGTGACAAAATTGTAGTTTAATGCCATAATGTGTTAATTTCCTTTTTGTTAAATAAAAGTAGTATACAGTAGGGTTGTCAAACGTACCGGTACTACGAAAATAATACTACTAAACTAATGTTGACGTACGGAGCACCGGGTATTCAGTAGCCGCTGAAAAGGTGCTGCTTTCAAACACTCGTTCCCGTATGTTTGAGCACTCAAAACTAAGCGTCAAAGGTTTCTATTTAGAGTGTTTTTTTACAAGGATTGAGCATTGTAGCCAATCACAATCATATCTGTTGAGCGTGTGAAGTTACACAATGGCCTATCAACTGTGCTGGTCAATAAGTAGTCAGAATCCACTTGATTCCACTGAAAACGCTCAAGGTTTTGTTTTGCTCAACGCGAGCTGCATGCTCGCCAATCCTTTCGTTATAACCAACAAAATGTAAACACGATGTAAATAAGAAATGTATTGTACAATTAAGACAGCTTGTTTTATTATAACAAGAGTTTTCGCGAGAGTGCAGAATTCAGTGAGCTTGCGCTTTATACATTGACAGCCTTGGTTATTATAAAGGGGGGGCTCTTCTCTTGCTTTTGGTTTATTACACATTCACAATTTGAATACAAGTTTAGTTTTTCATGCTGCCAAGTACACTGCAAAGTTTCTGGAGTGACAACCGTATTTAAATATGTGATTGAATCGGAAACTGCGATGATTGACAGTGATAACCAACGGATGAGACAAAACAGGACAACATTTTCTTAAAAGTTCTTAATTCAATAGTTTTGTACCAAAATTGGTACCGAGAACCATGAGATTTTACTGGTATTGGTACTACCAACTGAAATTTCAGTACTATGACAACCCTAGTATATACAGTAGTATGCAGTATGCTAATATTTTATTCTGAATATAGTCATATTAAACAACAGCTTGAGTCCTCTCTGTTCCCTGCAGCTGTTTTTGATAAAAGTTTTCTATCAACAACTTATTTTCACCTACTTGTTTGTTTTGGGTACTAATCGTTGCACATGTGACCAAATGAAGCTGTACATTTATTTGAAAACAGAAGAGATGGAAAACCAGTATCTTGTCCAGCTGTAAGAGCATGGCATCATTTGGATCTTTATTGTCAAATAGCAGTAGGGCTGTTCTCAAGGGAGTGTCAGTCCCCAAACACAAAACACAACACTATCCAAACTGTTGTTCATGAACGTTTGTTTTCTCACACTGTTTTTTTTTTCTTCTCTGTATTGTTTCCTCACTCAGGCCTTACAAGTTGCACGGCAGATCCTTCTCCAACAGCAACAGCAAAGCAGCGCCCTCAAGTCCCCTAAAAATAATGACAAGCAGCCTGCACCACAGGTATGTGTGCGTGTGTGAAGCTCCGATGTTGCTCAAATGTTGCTTTTTGATTGCTCAGGAGACTTAATGGAGTTCTCAGAATGTTTTAGTAGAAGTATCAGTTGTCTCAGATGTGTCTCCTCAAATACATTGAGAAATACAACAGAAACAAATAAGATTGAAATTGCTGAAACACAATATCAACCTGTAAAATGTATGTGGATATAGGTCAGATGATTAGATTTTGGCAGAATTAGTTGAGAAATGTTGTGGTTCATATTATTATCTTTGGTGTCTAAGATAATCTGAGCAATGTTTGAGACCGTGTGCTGTATCTGCACTTTTCAATATCTTCTATTTCAAGTGTGATGAATGAAACGGGCTGTTTTTTGACCCATTATTAATTTAAAGATTTTAATACAAAGTTGGATTAAAACATTTTTTATTATAATAAATATATACAATTTTAATTGTTATTCATAAATAATGCATTTATGAACAGCTAGTTAATTTTTCTAACATATTTTCTGACATAAATATGTGTGTGTGTGTTTATGTGAGTGATCAGGCATTATTTGTTTACATTTATATATATATATATATACAGTTGGTGGTACAACATGTACCTGTCAAAGCTTGACAAACAGGAAATTAAGGCAGACTGGGCTGAAGAGTTGGAAGCACATTAGCGTAGTGTTCTTTCATCATTCACAGTAATCTAACAAATCACGCACAATGAAATCCTGTCAGTTTTAGCACATTATGAGCACATGGATATCTAACGTGTGTGCAAGTGTGAAGAGCAAACAACATTAGCTTATTTAATAGAGGTACAGTAAGTATGGCATTCTATCTCTGTCTCTTTCTCTCTGATTTCACACTTAATTCTGTCATCAGCAGTTAAAGGGGGCGCCTGGGAGCATCCCTGTCTCCCGTCTCAGCCTCCGGGCTTTCTATTTGCCTATCCTTTGTGATGCAAAGCAAATCCGGCCCTTTTCATTTCCCCATCCGCGCCCCTTTAAAAGAGAGCAGCTAGCCGTGTCTGATGCAATATTTACGTTTATTTGAGATCATTCTCGCTCAGATCCTTATCTTTGTTTGAGCAAGGTGGATGTTGTTTGTTTCATGGTGGAATCGCAGGAGACCAAGGGGCATATTTGTTAATTAACGCACATCCCTGCTTTGAGTGAGTCTGTTTGTGTGTGTGTGCAATCACTATATAGGTAGGCTTTTTAGTGGTACTTGGTAATGAAACAGTCAAATTGCTTAGAAAATGCATAATTTGTCTGAGGAAAATGAGGAAAAACATCTTAGACTTGCGTTGAAGGAGTGACTTGAACATCAAAGGGACTTGGAGTTTGGCTCTTTTCACCCAAAACACAACATAGCAACGTGCTAAAAAATACTCTAGCTACCACATAGCAACACCCTAGAATCATGACGCAAGTTTTCTGCACCACTCACATTTTCTTCATCAAAACTAGTTTTTGCGGAGGTGTTGTGGTAGGGCTGCACGATAAATTTAAATAAATCCAACATTGCGATATGCACTAGTGCTATTATCAAATTGCAATTTAATGAATATATGCGTTGCATGTTTCAGAGTGAAGCGCGGGAACTCTTCTTTTACACGCGAGCAGCTCATGATCCGGTGTTTTCAAAATCTCTGAGCGGATCACTGGAAATGCTGCTCCACACAAACTCATCTCTGCATCTTCTCTGAGTTTGGCTTGCTTTGCAACATGTGCCAACAATCTTCTCAAACTTGTAATTTTGCCAACAAAAGAGAAGCTGCGATTTTCTGACAATATAAAAGCTTGATGATTTAACATTTGAAAGGGATGAAATTAAGGCAACCATACATTTTAGCATTGTAATTTTACAGTTGCACTGTTGCATTTTTTTTTTTTACAGTGAAATATTACAATAGTTATATTTCTTATTATAGTCATCACGAATACAGTGCAATCACAAATTTTATGCAATAAGATTTTAACCCCCAAAATCATGCAGCCTCGCTTTGTGGCATATCAGTATCATGCCATGTAGTCTAAAAAAAACTTGTGTAGATATCACTGGAAATAAGCCATAAGGGAAGAAATATGGTATCTGTGACCTTTAGGTTCTGTGTGAATATGCCGGCATTGAGATAAAGTCGAGAGGATCAAGCTAAACCGCTTCACTCATCAGGCTGAGGGGTCAACGGCCGGCAGATTCCACTATCCGGACTGTTAGTAAGTAGAGGAGCAGACCAGCCTCAGCACACAAAGACAGAATTAAAATTCTAATTTATTTATGTATACAGAGAGCATGGCCAACCTGTCACTCACACCAGTGAAAAAGAAAGCATGTGTGTTTTTGTCTTTCTCCCTCATGCTCTCTTCTCTCTTTCTATGACTGTGTTCAGAATGGAATCCTAGCGTACTGCATAAAAAATACTGTATACTGCTTGCTATTTGTTTTTAAGTTTGCAAATCAGTATGAAAGAACAAACATGTAGCCTGCCCTACAGTATGCTATGTTGTATGTCTCTTGCTGGTGCAGTACTCCTTAATGTGAACTCTTTGGCTGTGTCCAAAAGCTGAAAAATGCTGCCTTCGGAGAATGTATTACAAGGTAGGAACGCATCAAGGAACGCCCAAATCCAATGTTGGCTTCACTTCCTGTCTCCTGAGATCCTTTCATCTAATCGTTTTTTGAAGGCAGCATAGATATATCCTTCGCTGCCTTTGATATCCCACTATCCTGTGCTTTCCATTCGGTGACATGTTGAGCTAAAAATTAAAGATGGCGTCTGAAAGTTGTGGTTGGTGGTCAGTTTGTGTGTAAATGTACGTTTTTGACCAACGTTTGCTTTAAGCAAAGCATGCTTTATTTTGCTATAGATCATTCAACCGTTTTGCTGCCTCAGAAGTCTGTCTGAAATCAGTTTTGTGAGGTACTTTCGTGGGCAGACGCTCCCTACGAAGTCATTGCCTATAAGGCAGCAAGGCAACAAGTCAGCTGCCTAAGTTTTCAGACACAGCCTTTAAACCAAGTGGTGAAGTTGAGCACAATGCATTATGGGATAGTTCCCAGTGTGGTGTGCTTTGTTGTACAATTTAGCACATTCGTTCTTTGCATATAGATAATATTCTGACACTGCATAGTATGCATGCTATATACTGCAGAAATAGTATGGTAGTATGCCATTCTGGACAGAGCCTGCATCTTTTTCTCTCCTTCGCTCCGTCCAATAACTCTTTAGCTCATTATATTATCTGTGCACCCAATAGCTCTTGCTGTCTTGTGTGATCTATCTATCATTAGATGCTGATCTATATTATGTGCTATTGCTGTATTGAGGCGCCAGAAGCCAGCGTCAATTTGCTTTCCTTACTCTAGAGCATTTGATTTGATTTGTGACCGTTTTCTCACCAATTCAGCATTTCAATCACCCTCCACCTAAGACTTTGAAGATTTAAGTGTTTGCACATTATTTATGTTGGTCAGCAGTGAGAAATGTAATTGTAGCACACTAATTGTTAATTGTTGGGCTTATAGGGATCACAGGGTATGGCAGTAAACTCATGGGAACCTTTGCTAATCGATGGGCGTCTCTAACATACAGTAAGTAGTGCATTGGATGCTGGACAATTAACAGACAATATCTCTTATATTTCTTCATTCGTCATACTAGGAGATTTTTTTTTTTTTAAATGGGGGGGGGGGGGGTCCTTATTAATATGACACACAACATAGAACACCATAAACATCTGGTGGAGTGACAGACCGGAGCAGAGGCTAAACACACTCGGCTGGTCAAAAAAACGTGAGTAAATCACTGACAAAATGACACGTGTAATTAAGAGTCCATGCCACTTTACCACTTTACACCTACAGCAGAGAAGAGAGAGTCAACAAGAGAAAGAGAGAGAGAGGAAGATCGAGAGAGTGCAACTCCCTCCTTGCTAATTACGGTTATCACTGAAATGGTAGGGCTTGAGTCATTAGTTCCATGTGCATTTAATTAGAGGCAGTCTGAAATTGGATTTAACTTATTACTTTTTCATGGATCGCTTTCTTGTCATCACTTCAAATTGGATTGCAGCCCCAGGTAACTAATTATGCCCGCCACAGGATCAGGAGTGGAGAAATAGGTAATTAGGAACAACACTTGCGGACCTTCCTTGATAGTCCACCCTTTCCATGAAATGAGGGAAAATAAAAAAAAGACCAAAAAGAGAGAGGATTATTTGTGGCAATGCTGTGAAAGCAGGTGTGGTTAACTGTGCGCTGCCGCAAGGGATGATGGGTAGGTAGCTGCCACCTATGGAGGATTACAGCTGGGTTGGCAGTGTTATTTTGACATGATTTTCACCCGCCAGCATAATGCCCGTACTAGACATGTTGTGGTTTAGTTGATCATTGCACAGTGTAAATGTCATGCCTATCCTCATGCACTCATGAACTTTTGTCGTTAAAGGCCGCTTGAGCGTAAACTTTTGCTGTTCACGCTTGACTTGGCGAGAATATATAGCAAAACAAACGTGGTGTCAATAGGCAGCCTGAAAAGAGAGGTTGTTTGTTTCCTTGGACAGTGTTGGCGCTTGTTGAGATCAGCTGGTCTGTTCGCTTATTTTTGGAGTAAACATGTGCAAATCATCTGGAGGAGTTTGTTGCTTTACCAAAAACTCGATGGAGAAACTTCAGCAAATGTGCTTGTTGTGAAGTGTGCTATTAGTTATCTAAGCTGTCTGACTTTTTGTCAGGTTGACACCTAAAATGCATGAAAAATCTCATAGACTTTCAGTGAAGAAGGGACTTATCTAGGGATCCGAATGTTATAGAGATTTAGACCAGTAAGCAACAATTCAGATCACAATTAAAAAGGCAGTGCGAAACCACTCAGAACACACTAGCAGTCTCATAGAAACAGCCATTCAGAACATCTTAGCAACTCTATAGCAACACCCTGGCAACCACCCAACATAATACTGCAACATAGTAAATGGTTTAAATCTAATTGTAAAAATGATAAC